TTTATTTTGTTTATGTTTCTATCTTATTAATATTATTCTAATATTACAAATCCACTTGGTATGAACACATATTCATTTATAAAAAATATATATATTATAATATATATCTTCATATACTAGACACTTCAAATAGTTTGTCTACAGTGATAAAATTTAGCGCCTTTGGCAAAAATATATTGATTTTCTATTATGTTTTTATCTGTAATAAAATTAAATATTTACATCTCAATTTGAGTCGTCTATATACTACGAGTATATATGTATATGTTTTTAATTATATAATTTTTTTTAACTAAGGAGCTATGTGGTTCTCAATACATTTTGAAACCGATAGACAACAACAAATATGCAAATCTTATGTAAAACATGAACTTGAACCATGCCAATGTGGCTTTAATTTATGAGAAGATACTCGTCTACCAAAATCATGAAAAAAGAATAAAATGGAATACGGACGTAGAGATACTAAAAAGTTCAAGTATTTCAAATATTTAACATGGCAACTGTTGCTTAACATGTATCTGAGGCTGGTGTTCGCTTGTCAATATTTTATCGCTCTTCGTTTAAGTCTTCTGCTTAGCATCTGAAGTACTTAGCATCTGAAGTACTTTTTTGAAATTAAAATGTTTACAAAATACTTGAGGATTGTTTCAACTTTGCAAAGCGGTAACTTTGTTTTCAGCTACTTTTCGCAATTAGAATTCACAACTTGATTGGCACCTCATTAGATGTCAGCGAAGATAAGATAAGTATTAAATAATCAATTTAAAAGTTTTACATTTTTTGCAAAATTATTTATATAAATGCTTACCATATGTAAGTATTAATTCAATTATACTAAATAATAAGTGTAGTAATAGTATAATTTATTGCAAGCCTTTCTATACATAATTAAGGTATATTGTAAACAGATAGAATAAGAAATAATTAACATAATAATTCCATTTAAGATATTTTCAATAATTGTTATAAATATATATTGTTAATAACAACTACCAAGCCTTTTTGTTGATATTAAGTTATTATTGAGTATACAAATTTCTTTATAACTACTCCGCTGTGTTTTAGATAAAACTTTAAGGAAGGGATTAAGTATCAAGAAATAATTTTTTATTTTATAGCCAGAGATGTTAAGTTTTTTAATGATTTAGTTTGCATTTAAGACATATATTAAGTCAATCCCCTTCTACATATCCCAAATCATGACAAATAGGATCTTCTAAATCATATAATAATATTGCACATATTAAATATATAATAAGATAAATATCACATGATTTTCATCATTGTTGGACACATCAAGAACCACTGAATTCCAAACAGGCAAACGACTCTAAAACCGAACAGGTCAAAATTCGAAAACAATTAATTATGCTCCTTTGTAATGCCATGAATACCCATCCAATACTTCAAGAATTTTCTGTTCAATATTTTCAAAAAAGAAAAAAATATTTTTAAAAGAGTTAAAAGATGAACTACGTCTTCGGATCTCATAATTCTTAAGTTTCAATCTAGAAATTACAACACATGGTATTATCATGGCATTATTATTTTCAGACCAAAAAAAATATTGATGTCAGTGTGATGACTGATGAGATTGATAATATCGATATATTTTATTCCACTTTAGAAATCAAACCTCTTATTATAGACTAACATATATAAAAGACTGTAAATATATAATCTATATAGTTTACACGAAAATCTGCTACTTTTAATCCCTAGAAAATTTTTCGTATTCAGTGACAAAAAGGTTCTTTAGTAAAAGTTTGAAGCATTTGACAGAGAGGATATTCAAATTTTTTATCTTTAGTCTGTTAGTACTTCTATTGACTTTTTCTCAAATAATATCATATACTTCAAATAGGATTTGAACAGATATGTATATATTCCTTGAGCACGCAAGTTTAATGAAATACTTTGATATTGTAAATATGATAATAATAATTACATATTTAGTTTACATACATTTTTCAATATAACAGTTTATTAATTAAAAATTACGTGCCATAGTTTTAATTTTTAGAAGAGAATTTGATGAACTTTACGGTTCATACCTATTGTGGGTTAGAAGAATTCATGGATACTTGCATTCTGGCACATTTTATGACTAATGACATAGTTTTCAGAAAGAACGTGTCTGGATGCAATATTGTTAGCATTATTAATATGCCATAATAAATTAATAAATATATTTTAATAAATAATTTTCACTTTACGTAATTATTCACAATTTATAAAAGTTTAAGATAAATTTACTGTAGCCATGAATTACGAAATTTATTATATTTTAATGCGCAATGTAGTGAAAGTGCAATTATGGCGTTTTTCAACTTATAAACAAAAAGTACGCATTCGCCTACAAATAATTTAACTTTACTTGTGTGTTTTTTCAATAATTTTAAAACAATCCAAATAATAATTAAAAATAATTTTTAATTAATAATCGACATGAAAAATTGTGGGTTACAGTGTAAGTTCGGTGAAGTTTGCCTTCACACGCAAAACCCAATTTTTACTGAATGTAAAGAAATATGTAGTGAGAAAAGATAAAATATCTTTTCACTTTAAAATATTTCTGCATTTTCAAAGCATTTTAATAATTCATACCAGTCATATACTCTATGGTATATACAAATAGAAAGAATTCGTTATCATTATCTATTATTTTAAGAGTCTTACTAAAATATCTCTAAACTTTCATTTTGACTCTTGAAGGAAACAGAAATTGTTTAAAATTATTAATTCGCTTCTTTTTATAATAAATAAAGTACTATTTAAATGCTCAAAAAAAACAAAAATGAACTGACTAATTACTTTTATAAATAAATTTTTTTATTAACATATTATTAACATATTTACATATCTATTTCAATTATTTGAAATATTCGCACAAAGCTTCATCATCAAAAAATACAAACGTTCACTTCATAAAATCGGCACGTGAAAGCTGTAAGACTTCAACACAGAAGAGATTATTCAAAAATATTTAATAATTCATATATCGCACATATATCTTTTGAATTCATTAATTCCACTTTTAACTTTGGAATAACATTTGCATAAAAATAGTAGCAATCGAACAAAAAACGGAAATAAGTTCCCAAAACCATGACCGTTTCCACTCACAGCAGACAATTGACACCAAAGAGCAAACAGATATCAGATATTCTATTATATATTAAAATACTTTGCATATTTTAAGTCTTTTTATTAAACAAGTTTCTTACGGTTTGATAAAAATATCTATTTAAACTAAATCTATTCAAAGTTAAACAGCAGATATTGACTTCCAAACTGTCATCGAATAATGGATACATTATATTAGTTAAGTCATAGCTCAATGATATAGTATTTGTTTGAGTAAATCTCATAATAAACCAACGAAAAAATCTATCGAACTAAAATTTCATATAATTTGTAGAAACTGGCAACCTTCCAACGATAAATGATAATCTTCTACGACAAACCGATCAAAGGAATTATAGGAGTTTTCGTGAGACTACTTTTTGTATTCGCAAAATAATGGAAGAAAAATATATTATTTAAGTTGAATAAATTGAAATATATAATATATATATATATATTATTTTTTTTTTTGATGGGGAAAAATATTTTGCAAATTCGACAATTGCTTTATCGATAATTTACTGAGCTTAAATTTAGATGAGGCTGAATGTACTTTGCAGTTAATATTATCAAAAATAAAACAAAATAATTTTGATTGAACATAAAATATAGTTTTATGAAGACCTATATGAGTATAATGAATAACCCTTTTCCTAGCTTTTACATTCATTTCCAATAAAGGGTTTTTTAGTTTCAATTCCTTGTTTCAGTCAATAGAAAATTTTAAAATTCCAAATATGGAAACTAAATTCAACATTCAACATTAAACATTTTTTTTATTCTAGAGAATGTCTTTTCTGAATAATATATCCATCTATATAATCTGTTTTTACTTACGAGTATTATAAAAATTAATTTCTTATTATTATCTTTTTATATACTCATATCATTGAAATAGATTTCTCTTTTAATTTTAATATATTGTGCTAACATTATTATTGGTCATAATCGGCTGGACATTTTATCTACTGTCTACTAAAATAAAAATTTATATTATATTTAATAAATTATGTTTTATCGATTTTTTATCTGCACATTTTTATCACTTTCAGCAATTGAACGCTGCAAGTAAATCGATGGCTTTCTATAATGAAAGTGTAAAAATTGAACCATTTCCCAAAGTTTCTATATATATTTTATTATTACATATCGTGATGCATTTGTTGATATATATTATCTTATGGTGGAGTTATGGAAAATAGCATGAAGCATAGAAAATTATTTAATAAATGCATCGATTATAATAAATTTCCATGAAAAGCAGACCTGCAGCAGGCAAAGCGCATTAAAGTAATTCAGTACAAATTGTGTTAAGTTTGATGAAAATTGCTTCCGCTACATTTGTTGTGATTTGACTTTAATTAAAGATTTAAAAATATTAAAAAACCCAAAACTATGCTAATCAAGTTTAACTCCATATATCTTTTAAATTAACATATTCACCATATCCAATATATCCAATAGGTTTCATTTTTTTTTTTGTACCTTACAAACTGATTTAAATGCGCTTAATTCTATTTTAATTTTTTAATAATATTAATATTTTTATTGTATATTATTATGCATTTAAAAAAACATTATCTCTAAAGACTATAGTAGTTTTTACTAATGAACAAAAACGTTTTTATGGTCGGTGTCACTTTTTCACTGATATTTCCGCATTGATATCATTTCTACGGGAAAATTTATAAAGTATTAACCACAAATCGTAGCATAAAAAATTGTTTTCCATTAAAATTATTATACTGAACTTATGTTGAATAAATACAAACAATGAAGTTGGTTTTTAGAGTAAATCACAGTAAATTTATACTATCATTAACCACAAATTTGGCTGACTTACTGAAACTAATTATTTCTATCTTTTTCAGCTAAATTTCACCACTGACATGTAAATTTCTACACCAACAAAGCAAATGCAACAGATCAGCTAAGCAGGTATTAAACTAATTACTAACTATGAAAACAAATTAGTATACAACTAATTAAACATAATTATGTACACAAACATTGTTAGCGTATATCAATATTTGCATATCTAAAGCTACATTTTGTAAGCCACTTATAAAACAATTTACGCTGATTGTTTTCCTCCCAGCCCCTCGTACTGTTACTTTTATACTCGTTAATCAATTTAAAATATCTTTAAATTCATTTTTGAAATCGCAAGCGAGATAAACGTGTACTCATAGGTATACCGATCCGCATCGTATACCTATATACATATATAACATATATGCTTAAGTGTAATAAATATAACAATTTAAAGTTAAGTGCGAGTAAATGTTGTTTAAAGTACTAATAAATAAATAAATTTTATGGTTTTTAATAAGATAATTTTGTAGAAAATTAGTTTAAAAGCCCAATTGATATTACAAGGCTGAATAGAGTTAAGATATTTTGTTGCGTCAAGCAACAGCAGCACATTTAAAGTAATTGCTTATACTCGTATCTTAAAAGAAGTCAATTAACTAATTAGTAATTAACAAATTAAGATTAAACCATTTATCAAGGTGGTTAATAATTGAAAATTTCATTAAACTATTTTATTATTTTTAAATATAATAAACTAACCAGAATTATCGGCATCGATTTAGATTTCATTTAGAGAAAATCAATGATTGGTTTAACTCAATCATGCCATATATTTCTAACAAAATTTTTAAACATATGTTTTTCGAATAGCAGTGAACTACAACAACAAAAATTCATTTTATATTATTTTAATTAATTGAATTTTTGGCTGACCATACAGCTGTTACCGATCATCAGTGGTCTTGAAAATAATTCTTGTATTGAATTATTCGTAAATAATTTTTTGAGACTGCAAGTACCAGGAATTGAAGTGTCCCGCAAAATTTGAAGCTCAGAGTCAGCACACTTTAATCAACTAACCAAAAGCCGTACTTGACTTTTTTGTTCGCACATTTTTCTGGAGTTTTATTACTTTGCTGTGATGTTTAACTATATCATATATATGTTCAAATTTATGATTAAATTTAGGAATTTTCCCTTTAATAATTTTTAGCTTGTGATAGGAATTTCCTTCTCATATACATATATACATATGTATTTGGCCATTGAGTCTGTATTATTGGAAACTCTCAATAAACTATAGAGTATTAATTCTAATATTCTGTTCATATTTTCTTAATCATAAGTACTCGAAGATAACTTTATTTCTTGTATGTTTCTGTTGCCAATTTAAATTAAACTATATCATGGAAAAACATAACAATACAATTGCATCCTTCTATTTGCATTCCAGTATTGTTCTCTATCAATGCCTGTCGACCAATATCTCTATTTGGTCCTTTAGAAGTGCAAAACTGTCGACTTTACAAGTTGCTCAAAGTCAGGCTCTCCGAAGACTCTTCAAAGTGCCATGGGGCATCCGCACGAATGATATGCTAAGATACCTTAAATTAGATCCGGTCAAAAAATACATAAGGATACTTAACACTATCTAATCTCAGAGTAATCGCTAACCGCACAGGGCAGTACGCAGATCATAGATCAGTCATTAAATAATCACGAAGTTTATGAAGAATGCACAAATTAGTCAGTGAGATGGTTGCGACTCTGCAGAAACCCCCCAGCTATCAAAGAGTAAAAGTAACCAGATGCACTAACTTGGAAAGGGTTCAACACAACAATATAATTTCTTCTTTAATTTTTTTAATTGTTTCGAACATGCCAATATATATTGAAATAACAGTTTTTGTAAAAAATATATCTATTTCTTAATCCATTTCTTGTCACATTGTCAAACGTTGCTATAGGTTTTTAGATAATATAACTTATGACGTATTTACTTATATAAATAACTTCTTTTAACTAACATCTGAGATAAATTATTTGTTATGTCAAACAAGTTTGGTATCAATAGTCTTTAAAGTCTGATGAAGTGTCGATAAATTCATAGAATTTTTGATATTCAAATCAGTTAATTTCTTGACGTCCGTATTAAGATTAATATTAATATTAATATTGATATAGTATAGTTTCTAAATGAACCCTTTCAGTGGACTACTGTGCATAACAGATATCGAATACTTAAAGTCATTAGAATTGTTTTATTAAATCGAAAACACTTTTGTTGTCCACTCTCCGAAGTGGCTTAAAAGTAGATGTGAGACTTTATCATTTTTTTTATAATGTGACTTTGTTTCTTTTGTTTTCTTAACTATTAATGGACATAAATTGCCAATTGTTATCATTTGTAAACTATTGTTCTCCACACATTAAGATACAATCTATATTTTTACGGTTTTCTGACATAAATTAGAATGAAAACAAAACAAAACAAAGCAAAGCAAAACGAGAACCAAAAACCAAAAATATTTTTCGATAAAACTTTTGAACTGAAAAGAATTTACAAGTTGAAATTTATTTCTCTTTTCTGTGTCTTCCATTCAGTTGTTATATCAATAAATATATAAATACTTATACCTTTATATTCTTTTCATTATTTTCGTCAGTGTATGGTTATTTTATTTTCACTGAAAGAGTCTTGACTGAAATGCCTCACAGTCTTAAAACAGTTCTCAAAAAAGATACAACAAAATCCAACAACAAAACGTTTTGTATGCCAAACTGAAAAGTTTCTTTTTAATAGCGGATTTTTATTTATTTATTATTTTTTTTAATTTTTTTTTTTTCATATTGACACAGATTTTTTGTTTGGGCTGCTAAAATCGATTTATATTCTTAATAAAATTAAATTGTTATTTTTTGCAACAGTGCAGAATTTTAATAAAGCTATCTTCAAAGAATTAATATAAACTACAATGCTAGTTATGAGAATACTTTACATATATGATATATGTATATATTAATAAAAACATATATATTCGTATTTTATTAATTGAATTCTGTCTGATCTTTAAAGTTCATCGAACTTTAATGCAATTGCTTAATAAATTGAAAACCCGCACAATTCCCAAACTATTTGCCTTTTAGTACTCATTTTTATAATAGTAGATCTTTTTACTGTTCATCAGGAAAGTCACCATTAATATAATTTTATAATTCATATTAATTAATCAATTAATAAAATCAAACTCTAAAAAAAATGATATAAATATCTTGTATTCTCCAATTAAAATTTTGAATTTTATTTTCTCAGACACAAATTTTAATGAGTCTGATATATATGTTCGAATGGAACACTGGACTTTAAAGCCAGATATATGTAATCCATTGCGACTCTTAAAGATTTTCACATTAAGTATAAAATCAGCTGAACTTATTTTATGTTACTATTACCTAATATCGACAGCTCTAAAATAAACGAAAAAGTCGCCAGTGGCACATTTCCCAATAAATTGAGTTTCAGAATCTTGTTGCAACAATCGAACTATTTTTCAGTCCGATCCCCGTTGTACATAGCATAAAAATTCCGGATATCCAAGCTGCTATCATAACAGTGTTAAAAGCTAGAGTAATTTTTAGTAGTTTTTTAATACCAGGTTCTTCTTAACGAGCTAGCTAGGGTCGTAATTTTGCAACTCATATGGATACTTAGACACAGAGACATCGCAGTTAACTGCAGAAGAGACGATGCATTCTTAATGCACGCATTTGGTATTCCAGTGCAATGGCTAAGCTAGCAACTAAACAGAAATATCTTAGCATAACTAAAATAACAAGAACAGAATACCTTCACTGGAGATTTAGATCTACTTGGACTAAAAACGAAGCAGCCAGCTGCTGCAAATAAAGTGAAGCTTGCCTTAGACTACGGTCACTACGTACTAGGAAGTTGTGCTATGAGACTTATTCAACTCCATTTTTTTAGAATGGTTATGACTCTGATGAGGAAGGTGAATCCGTTTTTCACCTTCTTTGTTAATGCCCACCTTTGGTCAATAGAAGATTAAAATTCTTTCAGGCAGCATTTCATATCGACCTGACAAAGCTGCTTTCTTGTGAATTTAGGAACTAAGGATTGTTTATAAACTCATCAGACTCATTTGAATGGCGGTGCCGTTCCTTTTAACACTGTTTTTACGCAGACCATTGGGATTCTTTTAATAGTCTTTCTGGTCTACGTATGAGTAGCGATTACTCATGGTATCACGGGTCATTATTTCAGCGTAAGTAGGTTTTGATGTACAATACGCCACTTCGGCCTAACCTGCTTAAAAGACATTTAAAACTTTTCAATTTTTACAAGTACCATATAAACAGAAAAGCTTTTCTGGAATTCGACAATAGTCGAATGATCATCTCTCACTTTATCTTTTTACCTATCTACAGTAAGGGGTTTTCTCCACTACTATACTATACTGTACTAATCTTTACGTAGTGCACTAAATAATAAATGAAATGAAAGGAATTTAATGAAAATGAATTTATACGCTGTCCTGATTGATTTTCCATCAGATTTTACGTGACTAATAGGTTCATAATAGATTTGTAGTTCAGTGCTGATGTTTTTAAAAATGACTCATAACTAAGTTTTCTACTGCAAACAACAGATAAAAAGTTCTATATACCTTTCTAAATTGTCTATTTCTCTTTCTTAGTTTGTATTCCCAAATATTTATAAACTTCTATGATGCTACTATTCTGAGTATCTATACTACACAATCTACAAAAACTCTTTTAATTTATGGTACTCGTACATAAACATTATTGCTTGTGCTTTGCATGAGCTATCTTAATGAGTTTTTTAACATTTTGTCATTAGTTTCACAATTATTGTGCCTTTCATAAGAAGACAGAAAAAGTTATCTCATCATTATGAAAATTGAGTGAGGTCATGTTTTTGGTACTGACTTGTCATTAATTTGAAAATATATGGTAAAAACTGAAAGCGTTAATCTTTAATGTGTTTTCAAAAATGCATTATACAATATATTTTTAATATTACCTCATATGATGGCAAAATACATATATTGAGATGTTAGCTTTTACTTTATATAGCATTATTA